TTATAATACTTAACACTTCCATACACGCTCAAAATCAGTGTAATTTCCCTCATTTTTCTCTTCTATGTAGTCCTCAGAATGTTTATATGAAAATCCACATATGCATGCAATCACACTCACAACACACAACACAGGCACACATGTATATTTTTTACAACAGTTAAATAGTAGACTTTTCCGTGGTAGATCGGTAGATGGTGGTCCTTTGTGTGTTTACCATTGACCATCTCCCAGTGCAAAGCCCATCCTAGTGCCTTTCCTGTGATAAAAACTGAATGAGACTTTGTTTTGGTGACTGAATATCAATTTCCTACAAAATCCTTTCCATTTGCAATTAAAATTTGGTGTGTTTTCTTATATAAATACTGACTACGTCTTCTGTAAGAGAACAATATATAGTTAAGCTGGTATTTCAGGAAAACATAAATTAAAAAATATTAACAGACATTCATTATGATTACAGGATGTACTTTTGCAAGATCTAACAGCTCAGGGGTGTTAAAATTAGGATCTGTAGCCTCAAAATATTTATCATGCAGGTCAAGTAACAGGTTAAAACTGGAAAACTTGTTTCGCAAGGTGGCGGAGCCAAATAAGTAATTCATATAAGAGTTAGGAGAGGGCAGCAGATGTTTATGGACTAAAATAGTCTAAGGAGGCTATAAAGAGAAGAAGGATTTACTTCACAATGAATAAAATGTTCGGAGAAAGAGCTTAGAGGTGGGGAGCCTACTGAACTTTCCTGAAACATTTTGAGAGACTTCAACTAGGTAGAGCGGATGCTTCACATAAGGTTTCAGCGGAAAGAAAGTTGAAAAGTTAGGCTTCGATTATATTTTGCCTGGATGTGAGGACTGTCTCTAAATATGAAGGTGCATAGAGGTTATCACACAGGAACACAAACAAGGAAGAAAAAACATGCATATATTCATATTTTTATGATATAAACACATTGTTTTGCTCTCAAACTAAGAATAACCATTCAGGATTTTTCAAAGTTATTACACTAGCTTATTGAATGACACAGAGGAATATTGTATTTAATGAATACCTAGTCTAAGACCAAGTGAATAGAACATAAGTTGACAATGACACCTGAGTCTGTGTGAAATAAGGAGCAAGAATATTAAGGTTTAGATGTAGAAACGTGTGTAAGCTGTAGACTTCAAGTCAGGAAAATAATTATTTGATACAAAAAAACGGATCTAAAACATTGAAATTAAATTCAAAGGAAAAATGTGTTCATAAATCTTTGGAACTACACCTAAGAAGAAAGGTATGGCTGAATAGTACTGTTTTTCACCGAAGATGGATTTTCAAAAGAGAATGTTGCTCATATGTTGTGGTTTGCCACACCCGCATGGAGTGGGTATAAAAGTCCCAGTTTAGACAGTGATGTTCATTCTCAGGAAACTCACCTTCAACATCCAGCCAAATCCACAATCCCTGACACCATGAGCTACTGCGGCAACTACTACAGTGGCCTTGGCTATGGCCTTGGTGGCTTTGGTGGCCTGGGCTATGGCTATGGTTCCAGCTATGACCTTGGCGGCTTTGGTGGCCTGGGCTATGGCTATGGTTCTAGCTCTGGCCTTGGTGGCTTTGGTGGCCTGGGCTATGGCTATGGTTCCAGCTATGGCCTTGGCGGCTTTGGTGGACTGGACTATGGCTATGGTTCCAGCTATGGCCTTGGTGGCTTTCGTGGTTATGGTTGTGGCTGCTTCCATCCCTCTGTCTATGGAAGATACTGGTCCTCTGGATTTTATTGAAAACATTGTCCACCCTCAGAGATCTCTTCTAGATCCAGAATTCATCACGCAAGCTAGCTACACTCACCCATGCTGTGTTATTAATATGCATCTTCCTTCTTTATCCTTTCTTTGCTATTTCTTGACATAGTTGCAAATAAATCTTTTCTGTGACTAAACATTGTCTCATTGATTTTTTTAAGCTAAACGCACTATTGAATTATAAGTTTTGTCATATCTGAGTTGTGTATTTCTCTGAAGCCTATTTTTCCTACAGAATTATCTACTGTCTTAGAATTAATCTTATCAAATTTTAGCCAATAGCTCCTTCATTTGACATGGTATCTGATCAGGTGATGCTCCTTTTTTTTTACTTTAATACCATTTAGAAAGAAGTCTATTTAGATGTCCTTAATTCTTATGACTACTGCCCACAAGTAGTTTGTTGTACTGTGATGGCTTGCATACCAGCGGGTCACCCATGATGGACAGGTTTCAGAAGCGCTTCCAGACTAAGACAGGCCAGGAAGAAAGACCTGGCAATCTACTCCTGAAAATTAGTCAATGAAAACCTGATGGATCAAAACAAAACATTGTCCAACTCATTTCTTTGGACACATCATCAGGAGTGCCTATGAGGGTGAGGGAGACCCTTAGTGAGGTGATTTGGCACAATAGCCCAGTGATGAACCTGAACATGCTGGTGATCATGCAGGACTAGGCAATGTTTTCTTCTTTTGTACATAACGTCACCATGAGTTGGAGTCAATTTGATGGGAATTGTATCTATCCATCCATCCATCTATCTATCTGTCTGTCTGTCTATCTATCTGTCATATATCTATCCATCTATCTATCAATTCTTAGGAAGATATAGACACTTCACTCACAAAATTATTAGTTTAACGTAACATCTATTCTAACCTCACTGTGTCAGGAGGAGCATTATTTTTTAACATAGTCCATGACAACTGTTACTACTTTTTATGACCTTTACAATGTAGACGTGTCCATGGCTTGGTGCTTAGTCTTCAGTGTGCTCCTTTTCCTGGGACTTCCTTAGAAAACAATGACAAAAATACATACAATACACCCCACCCCACCAGCTTCTATTTCTATAAAAGAAGTAGAGGATCTGGGGATTTTTTTTTCTGTATTTACTAGTTCTTCACTATTTTAAAACATATATCATTTAACTTTTCAGGTTTAATACTACTTTTCTTATATTTATATATATATGAAAGTTGATTTTGAATCATGGTTTCTATACTTTTTCCAAGTAAGGTGGAGTACTGGTATTTATTCCTCATTTAAACTTTTCAAGAGATTTTGTCACAGGTTGTTTTTTTGGATCCTTCCCTCAGACTTGAGACTGGTTATTCATTTCTATCCAGTGTCTTCAGATCGCTAATCTCCGTCTTTTAATCATATATGATGTGATTCCCAATATGGTTCTCACTTTATTAGATAAGTTATAGAGTCTTCATTGATCTTGAATGATTCTAGCTGGTACTTTACTAGTGTGTTTACAAACTAATAATTTGTTCTGAATTTTTTAGGACCTGAAATGAGGAACGATTTGGGTGATGATCCTCACTGATTTAAGCTAGACCTTGGGCTCTTCAGTCAATCACATAGCAGTTATTTATTTGGCACTAAATTTATCATGACAAGGGATTTTAACTGATGGTTGTGAATTCCAGAAAATAGACAATAATTAAGAACAAACAAATAAACTAGAATTTCTTTTTCAGAAAAAGGCCCTATCTTCTACATCTCTGTATTAAAATAATTATGGGTCCAAAATAGAACATGTCAAAATGATATGGCAGAGAATGAAGTGGGTGGGGCTATATTTGAAGCACAGTTGGCCTTGACATTATAATTCTTCAAAATGAATGAACGCTATATGAGGACTTTTTATACTCTACTATCTACCTTGCGTATTTACAAAGATTTCCATAATCAGGATTTTAGGAACAACTAAATATTATATTTTGCCACAAGGACTATAGGACTCAAAGAACATGAAGCGATATATCAAATATAGAACTGTACTCCATGTGCACTTTGCACAACTGTTAGGATTTAAACAAATTAAAGAAAGACATAACCAAAGAAGATAATAAAACCAAACCAAACCCATTGCTGTTGAGTCGATTCCAACTCATAGCAACCAGATAGGACAGAGTAGAACTGCCCTATAGGGTTTCTAAGGAGCGCCTGGTAGATTCAAACTGCCGACCTTTTGGTTAGCGGCCAAGCTCTTAACCACTGTACTGCCAGGGTTCCATAGAATGTGCATTATCTTGGGGAAGAAGAGGAGATGATTATCCATAGAACAAAAAAGAAATTGGAAATTATATAAATAAATTCCTCAGGTCAGTGTTGGATTATTAGAGCAAATATAAACCAGTTGACATAAAGTCGATTCCGATTCATGGTGACCCATGTTGTGTCAGAGTAGAACTGTGCTCTGTAGGGTTTTCAATGGCTGACATTTTAGAAATAGATCACCAGGCCTTTCTTCCAAACCACCTCTGGGTGACCTCAAACCTCCAAACTTTCGGTTAGCATCAGAGCACGTTAACTCTTTTCTCCACCCAGGGATTCCAAATATCCTTAAATAACTTGTAAAATGATATTTACTACCTTTTGCAGTAATTTTTAAAGAGAATAGTGGAACAGGAAAAATAAGTTTAAGAGAAAAAGGTGCTGCAGTAACCCCGACATGTAGCAAGGCAGTCCCAACTCAGACTCTGTGACAGATTCGGTGTTTGGAATAGAGAGAAAGGCGATAATTTCAAGGATGCAAGAAGATTGCTTACATGAGTGACGAGGAAGATGAATTCAGGGTGAGTCCACGTCTGCAGGGTTAATGACCTGAAGAAAGTTGCTACTATGGATCATACAGAGTGAAGCAGGTATACATTTGAGTAGAAAACCAATGAAAATTTGACCTCAGACTATTTACACCTAGCAGGAGCCCTAGTGGCCCAGTGGTTAAAGCGATCCACTGCTAACCGAAAGGCTGGCAGTTTGAAACCAGCAGAGGCTCCATAGGAGAAAGATGTGGCAGTCTGCTTTCGTAGAGATTTACAGCCTTGGAACCCTATGAGGTTGCTATGAGTCGGAATCGACTTGACGGCAGTGGGGATTTACATGTAAACTAACACTTTAATTGCCAAATGAAAAATATCTTACTGGTAGAATATTATTCTTTAGACGTTTTTATGTAATTATGTTTATATGTATTTTCTACTTCTATATTAATTGTAGTTACTAAGAAACATCTCAAAATTTGCCTTCAGCACAGCTACAAATTCTAAATTCAGGTTAAACAGCCCATGTGACTTCCCAAAATTGATTTTAGCAGCAAAATATTTATTTTTATTTTTATTATTACTTTTAAGTTGCCTTTGATATGTTCTCTTTCCTGTTTTTAAGTATGCTTCCCTTCCAAGGGCTTACTGACTGATTAGAGATCTGAAGAAATGGATTTCATCATAGTTATTCAAACTTAGGCATTTTAAAGAAAAGTAATGAGAAATCTTAGGACCTGATGCTGTTTATTGTATTTTTTTAAAAAATAAAGTTACCTTAAAGAAGCATAACATTATATTTAAACATGGAACTAATACACACAGCTTGTTTTATATTTGTCTCTAAAAATCTGCACAATGACTATCGATTTTTCATAATGTATTTTAAACTCATCCTTTCCAGCCAAGTTTTCTTATTGCAGTCTATAACAGGACATTGTAAACACCTCCCAAGTGGTCCCTCTGCATTCAAGAATTTTCCGTACAATTCATATTGCACAGAAAATATGTATTTTCTAAAACATCATTTCTCTGAGGCCACTGCCCTGAACAAAAACATAGACTAATTTATGGCCTATCCTGGTCTTAAACCAGTTTACTTCCCAGCTGTCAATTAGGCTGGATTTAAATGCCTTTCCCCAGGCACAGCGTTTTGCTCATTGAGGACATGTTTTGTTTACTTTAGTCTCTGATCATAAGCTCAAACCATTGTCCCTCGCTGGCACCTCTTCCTCTTTCCTGATTTTATTAGAATCTCGATGCTTCTCCCAAGATGCAGCACATTTGACACCTTCCCCAGGATTCTTTCAGGGGACTTTACAGCCCACTGTAATTGTTAACTCCTCTAAACCACTCTCGAGATCAGCATCACGATTCATTATTCAGTCTTCTGATATACTGCCGTATGCCATTAACAAAAGACACACGCATTCAAACACACGCAATGTCTCTCTCTCCCACACACACACACACACACACACACACGTTTGTGAATTTAACTAAATGGTAGGATTTAAAGTCCATGGAGTGGTCCTTCCCGAAGGCCCATCGCGGTACGTTTCTCATAATAAAGTTTTAATGTGAATTTTCTGCTGAAATATGTTGAAATAGAAAGCATTTTTCATGAATAAAATGAATATATACATACATACGTATGTGTATATATATATGAAAATTTTAAAGGTATATAAAAAAGCTTTCAAAAATTTAAATTGGTATTTCAGGAACAGAAAGTTTTAAAAAATCAACAAATATGTATTTTGTTTACTTTTATAAGGTATTACATTAGACTTCAAGGATATAAATAGAGTGTACGCCTTCAAAGTATTTTTAAGCCAGTTCCACTAAGCACTTAAAAAATGAAAAACTAATTCTGCAAGCGGTTAGTAGGTGTGTGTGGAATGGGATTGTTAAAGGAGGCTATAAGGAGAAAAAGAATTAGCGACTTCGAGGTGATTAAGAATGTCTGAGAAAAAGCTTGGAGTGAGAAGGTCAATTGAAGTTTAAAACAACAATTTGAGAGGATGCATCTAGATTGAATGAATGTTCCACATAAGGTTGCAGTAGGAAAAAAAAATTGAAAAAGTAGCCTTAGGTTATTTTACGACATGACTTACAACATTATGAACTATGAAGATTCTTAGAAGGTTGTAACGCAAACATACCAGCAAGGAAGAAAGAATGAAAAATTGAATTGAA